AGAGAATGTCTGTATCTTTTTAACAAAGCGCTTGTTAATATTATATCAACAGTCTTGCGATTCATGGAGGACCTCCAGTGCCACAAAGATTGCCACCTGAAGAACGTAAGTGTACACTTCTTTTTGTCAAACAAACGCGCGGTACAAACTGTAGTTCCCAAGTTCTTTTATTATGGTGTGTCACCCCCATGTAGCACACAGAAATAAGCCGTACCATATATTAGAGTCGTAAACTCCTTAGCAGCGTTTACCTGCAGCATAAAACGAATCACAGTAAAGTTGGATTCGATTTTCCTTACTTGATTTCTCATTCTTAAAGATTACGGAAACAGTTTCCGTAAAGCTTCGACATTCGTATTTAGCAGCCCCTCGCTACTTTCGGGTAATGACGTATATTATTATGAACTTTACGACTTTTGCAAGTGATTTGTTGTTGTTGTTCTTGTTTTTCTGGTCACTCTCGTATGTTTATGCAACACTGGTTGCTTGCTTTTTTTACTTCACAGCAACAGGAATTCATGTACAACAAATAACCGGAACTACAAAGTAACAGCGCTTTATTTTAAAGAATTATCTAGCAAATCTGTAAGAAATTTTTCCATGCCCTTGTTGGGCTTGCCATCGGCACAAGCACAAGTTTACTTACTGAAAGTACACATGCACTACATCTTGTTCCATGTTCGTTTTGAGTGAACGTAAAAATGGAATTGATTTTTGCGTAGACCTTGGTGCAATTTAAGTTGAACCACTTGGTTAAGTAGCATGAGAATACGCAGCGATGTACATGTAACTCGTAGAAAGATTCACTTGAACCTTCCTTGCTTTAAAAAGCAATTAATCTACCACATGACCTGCCGACCTGTCGTACCGAAAATCACCCATCGGTACTTATTCTGAGTTATTTTTTGAGGCAACTAAATCTTCAGAAGGGTATTCGTACATTCTATCCTTGATCGCTTATACCCGTAGTATTCGGAACAAATGACTGAAAAAACATAAAAGAATTATTTATAAAAATAATCAGTTTGGAAACGATTGCCTTTAGTACAAAAACACTTCACATTTATTCTTTCTCTTTGAGGATAACACCAAGTGAACTATTACACGTGTCAGTCAAGATCGCTACCATCCTCCTGATTTAATACGGTAGATTATACCCTGTCCGTGCAAAAAAGCGACTTTCTTCATTCTTTCATCAATTTCCGTTTCAGGAAAACGTCGGCCTCGCACAACTCAGAGCATGGCCTCATTCCGAACCACACGCCGTCAAGACATAAAGAGAGTGGCCTCAGCACCAGCTGTAGCTAATAGTTATCGTAACCAAGTCAAGGCTGGGATCATACGAGCTATGTTACCGCGTTCAGACTCAACTCAAATAAGAAGCGCCTTTGGAGCTGCGGAGGTCTGGAAATCGAAGCTGCTGACTGCGCGGCCCACGTTAGAGCAGAGACTTTACAGTAAAAATTGTTGACAAAATGTGGCCAATATGACATGAAACCTGCTATGAATCCTTGGATCGCCCGGACTGGAGCCTAAGACGGAAGCATGGAATTGTTATTCGGCTGCTTCATCTCTCAGCGAGGGTTTAGACTAAAGCGTCTATTTCATTACTTAGGTGCTCACAAGTCAGTCATGTAGAGATCTTCTAAGAGTCTTGGCGTCTTTATTTCATGGTTCAATTTTGTGTATTAATTCTAACCATGTGCGGAGAATCTGAGATCTTCGTATCCGTATTCTATGGCTAGATTGGCCCAAGGGAAAATGGAAGTGGAGGATGGATATACCTCGAAAAATGAAGGTTGTAATGTTCTTTGTTCAAAGTTTGATGAACTTCCGGTATCAATATTATTCAATACAATTGCTAAACTAAAGTTTGATTTAAATGGTCTAGCTGCAAAGATCGTCGGTACGATTTGCCCACTTCATTTCTCTCGGGTGCGAAATGTTTTTAACGAAAAGCTCTTTATTTTGAGAAAAAAATTGAAAAGATTGTTGCGTCAACTAATTATTTTATATATCATTGCCCTTGTTATTGCCATTCATCGGTCAATGAAATACCCTTGAATGAAACGAAAACCGCTTTAAATTTTTGAACACGGCTGAGGTAATGTGTGATAGCGAGCCACTTTAAAACAAAGGAAAATAAAAATGAAACTTAAAACCAAAATTGAACCACATCATGTTATGTTTGAACTCTCGTTTACAGCATTCAGTTTTGCCAAGTGATCTCATTCAGCGTATACGGTTTTCAAATTTTTTACGGTAAGAATGTATTTTTCCGTATGCAACATCAAGCGAAGTCAATATATTATTGGGCTATATCGGGGCCTCTTGTTAGTCCCAACTCCGGTTTATACTTGTTGAGTTAAATGTTGCGCGAGCTTCATGTCAAGTTTTGCAAAGACATGCGCTGCGCTCGTTCTCCTTTATTATTTTGCTGATACTGACTGTTCTCCGTCGCCAAAAAAAAAAAAAAAAAAAAAAAAAAATGGCCGACGGATCTCCTAGAAGGCGTTGCATATCCCCTCCGCCTAATATGGGACTGATCATGTGACTTTTAGGGGAATGGGGTGGGTCATTTCGAAAATTCATGCCTAATGCCACCTTCCCAGTAAAAACAAATTAAATTGTGAATGGGATCAAAATCCTTTTGGGATTTGGCGGCATCGCTTTTTTCGGTATCGTGCCTTTTCACATGCGCTTAACACTTTTGGTGCGCCGGCAGTAAGGCCTGGGAAAAGCAACGGAAAAGCTGACGAGGTGATTAGGTCAGAGTGGATAGGGATAAGGTCATGTGTCCCCATCCTGCTTTCTGATTCATGCCTATTGATTCATTTGGGTAAAAAGTAATCTATCCGTACTAACCACTAGTCGACCTCATGATTTTCATGTAGCAGAAAGCGAGCGGAACCAGCTTTTCAAGAGTCTATCACACTTCTACAGATGAAAAAGTTTATTTAGAAGCACATTACCCAACCTTCATGTTTGTGTTTAAAAGTAATTTACTCCGTTGTTTTATTAATGCTGTCTGAAATACAGGCTGAGGAAGGATTTGAATGTTAATACCATGACAACTCATGTTCTGTTTACAGTTAGCCCAGGGTCAGGGAACCTCGTTCTCAGGGTGTGGGTGGGTCAAGTTGTTTGAGTTTCAAACAACTCAGGCCGGAGAAACTTCGGCTGCACATCAGATAACGTTACTTGGATATAGAATGAAACACCCCTTCTGGTGCTTGATAAATCACTTCAAAATCCATGTTTCATGAAGGAAATCTTAAGAATTTTATGTTTAACGAGTATCTTTAAATCTGACTAAATAGGACTTAATGTTACTTCCCTTTCTTTTTTCTGCACATTGACTCAAAGTTTCAAGATCTAGATCAGTAACAAAAGATCTTTTGGTTGTTCCCCGTATTTCCCGTATTTCCAACTTGATTGCACACCACTGTTCGTTCGGTGATAATTAAAACAGAAAATTACCAAAGTAGCGATGGGGAAACTCTCCTCCCCCCGCCCCCCAAGCTTGTAGTCTGTTATCACCACCAGTGAGTCTTTGAACTGTGTCCAATTTTTCCTGGAAAACATGCTACAATCAATCCTTTGCAAAACGGCCACCCTTGGATGTACGTGTACTTTCAAGTTTGTACTAACTTTCTCTGCTGAAAAGGCGTTCTAGAAGACCCTTTTACGGGACTTCATAAAGAAAAATAATATGTTTCAAGAGAAGCTTGTCGTCGACTTTGTTAAGTCGGCTAAATTGCTCTGCTGCATGCTACTGTCTTGACAGCTAAAGGACACTTCGTCCAGCGCTTGTAGTTCCCCTATACGATTGTCAAGGAAAGGTTAACTGATTTCGCTAGCGTTCATTTTCCTGTGAAACGAGTTCGCTAGCATTTATTTTCCTGTCTACTTTGGAGCACACAAAGAACTTTGCCCATGATTTGATCGTCATCTTATTTGGCGACCATTATCCACCGATAAAAAATAATGAAATTGTACATTTGGGAAGTTTAAAGGGTGACCGCGTCCGTTATAGCCGTTATAAAGAGGTGACCGGTTTAGGCCTGGTTCAGACGCGTAAGTTCGACTTTGGAGCGACACTGGCGCGACATCTGATTCAGACGGCGTACCGTGTGTCGAACCTAAGTTAAGTTCAACAAAAGTTCAACAGACTCTTATCTGTCGAACTTAACGCTTTTGCCGCACCAAACTAAAACTGCCGTACCAAATTGATTCAGACGCCGCTCTTTTGCCGTACTTAATTCATCAGTTAGGTTCGGCACATGAGTGGAGCCGCGTCTGAACCGGGCCTTATTTGCAGAAAATATGTACAAATATTTTCGGGAAGTTTTGTGATGACCGTATCTTATAGGGTGACCGGTATTCAGAGCTGTTAAAGGTTGGACTGTTAGTACAAACATAGGGGACTGGTTATGAAAAGCGGCAAACATCAATGATAAGAACAACAGTGCTGCAGTTTATGTTGGAAGTACCGTGAAAGTGCAAATCCTTTGTTCTCTGTTGGCAAATTGTTACGGAATAAATTAATGCAACGTTCTTATTGGTCAATACAATCAAACTGATAGGAATTCTTTTGAACGTTGTGCACTTTAAGGTCCACAAAAACATATAACAAAGGAGTCTGACGGGTTTCATAACCATTCCACTCAATTAACTATGGTACAAATAAACTTTACCAAACCTAGTCATACCATTAAGTCTAATTAGCCATTTCCCAGAGACAATATTCACTTTCTGAATTTATTTGCAATTATAAAACCTACTACTCTAACATAGAAAAAGCGATGTTTACGCACTAAAACGTGAGAAAACTAAATCGCAACATTTTAATCACAAAACAACGTACTTTCTAATTTCAGTACCTTCAGAGACTCAATGCTTAATTCAATGCTCTTAGTAACAGACGAAACTGATTGCTTACTTTCTTAAATAAAACATGTAATAAACATCGACTTGTCATGTCTATTTGTTTTTTTTTTTTGTTTTGTTTTTCTTTTCTTTAGAATTAAAAAAATGCGCACTTAATTATGCTTAGCCTATTTACTTCTTGTGTTCGTAACCGTCTGGCATATGTTTGAGCCAGTGATATAGAAAAGTATTAAACATTCCTTTTTACGATTATCTGTTCCAAGTGCTCTCTCGAAGTTCACAAAAGGTAACCAGCTCAGTGTCGCTTGACAAATTATATCGTACCATTCACTTGTAGCTGAATTGAAGACATGATGACGATGACTGCAACGAAGCCCCGTCACATTGCTGACTCCTGGTGACTTGCACTCGTCGATTTTGATTTTGATTTTGATGACAATGTCCCTGATGTCTTGTCAAAATTGATATACAAATGATCTTCATACATCCGCATGTCAATGTATTCCTGAGCAAAGTAAACAGTAGCGTAAGCAAACGATTGGCATTTATCAATCAATTACTATGCGCCTGTAGATGTCCGCGTCTTAGTTGAGGAAGCTAGATCGTAGCAGAAGAGCCGTCAAAATTGATGTACGAAGATTCTTCATACATTCTCATGTCTACGTATTCCTACAAAGTGACAAGGAAGGGAATATCAATAAGCGCGTCAATAAAAAAGAATAGGTGAATAACCAATTTCTGTCCCAAAGATAGAAATTGGTGCAGTTACTTTTCTCAAATCAGATCAGTTTTAAATACGGTGGGACTTCTCAGTGATAAGAGGTTTATTTGGCTACAAACCTCTACTTTGCGTCTTTGTTATTAACTTTTACTGAAGCTATACACTATTTTTTCTTTTGCTGTTCTGTATATTTCCCACTTGCATTTCTTTCCGCTTTGTTTTCAGAACTTACTGAATAACATTACTGCCAGGTCTACCGTTATTTTCAGGTAAAACGCTCTTGAGCGGCAACTTGAATGAATAATCGTACTAGTTTCAGTGAGTTTTTCCGCGAAAGACTAATTCAAACATCATGCCGCCATTGCGGACAAAAACTCGGATAGTTACCCTGTCATCGCTGAACAGTTTACTGAGGTGCTGAGACAGGTCTGTGAATGTGGGTCTTTTCTGGGGTGCCACTTGCCAACAGTCCAACATAAGAAAGTACCTGTGAAATAAAAAGATTGAACAAATATATAGTGGAACCTCGCTTGCCTAGTCCCTAGGCCTCATTATCCCGCGCGGTCAATGCGTTACGGGTCATGTGGTCCGAGCGAAGAAGTGAGGCCGTTTCCCGCCCTTTCGCCTAGGATACGTTACCGAAGTGAATTGATCGAGAAGGCCTGGGAAAACTCCGTACAGGGACTAGGCAAAAACCATGCATTAATGTTACACCATTCCCCGGTGACACGGCGACCTAGTTGTGACGATCACTTTTCTTTACCCGGACAAAAGTTCAGCCACCTCCTCGTAAAACTCCAAATACTCCTGCATAAAAAATTTCAAAACCAGTTAAGTTTTTTGTACCATCGAACATTTTGAAATGGATGTAGCCCTCGAAAACCCAGACAACTCGTTTTTTACCCATTTTAATGACAGAGCATGGCGCCGGACCAGCCTGATCCGGCGTCATACTTAGGATTACCATTTCATCGTGAGAATTTGCTTACAGTTCTTCGGAGCAGTGTTTTGGTTTATCCATCCTGTAGGAATCCTGGAGAAAATTAATCACTTCTTGAGAACTCATGCCTGGATATGGGGATGCTCCTGAAAAAAAAAAGCGCATTTCTGTTGTTGTTGCCAACGAATTAAACTTCAAGTTAAGTCCTGCAATGACCATGACATATTAGTAAAATATGAGATATATTTCTTTTGATAACCTTGGGGTTTCCTATTCCCTACAAAGTAAACCCGTTCTTCGGATTTTATGTCCACCGGGTTGCTTTTGCAACTTCTAGGTTCAATTGTTAAAGTTCGTAAGAATTTTTAATGGAATAGATTTTTTTTAAAAAAATGTTGACGGTCTTACCTAGCGTTACAATTTCCCATAGAACGACACCAAAGGACCACCTGCGGAAGAAATGAAAGAGAATGAATGCGTGGTGCAAGTGAAAAAAAATCTACGTCGGCCTAAGAAAGGTAAATGTCTGCGTGATATCATGACTTGAAACTGGCACAGAGGCAGAGGAACACTTTTAAACGGGATAGTATTAATTTGACAAGTGCATCTCGTCTTTGGCTTCAGGTCAGTGCAATACGGAAAGATAAAATGGCTTCAGTATAGCAGTACCGGCTTTGAAGAAGACCAGACAAGACCACTTGACAGGGACTAGTTGTGCTAGTCGAAAAATCAAAAGTTCCCTTTTGCCGCGGTGCGAGCATTGCAATTAAAATAGTTTGTTTACGGTTTGCAGTGAGCAAAGTCTGGTTCAGTGAAAAATAGAACTTAAAACAATACATAGCAACCCGAACTTTGTTCTGCGTTGAGTAGTTCCTTGAATTAAAGGTTTTCTCAAAAGTTTTAAGTAAAGACCAAACCCTTTACGAGAAACCAAAATCATACCGAATTACATCACACCTCCCCTGGTAGTGATGGAATTTGACCACACCAGGTAGTGAAAGCGGTTATGGTTTTCTTTTCTGCGATATGCACAAGCAGGGCATACGCAGACGCGTGGTTCCTCGTATCGATTAGGCTATGTTGTATTAACTCACACGTCGCTTTTTGATGTAGAAACTCCATCGAGCAATGATTCAATTGCCATCCACTTGATAGGGAATCGTCCACCCTGTTGAAAGAGGTGGAACATTATAACTCATAATTCATATCACTGTCACTTAGTGGTGTGATAAATGTGTATACAATCGACATGGGCAAGTATAGTTTTCTCTAGTCTCTGGCGACTGGACTGGACTGGTCAAATACAGGCAAAATACGCGAACAATAAGCTGTTATTTTGTTTCCACGGTTTAAAATAATTCTCAGTGGTAAAATAACCGCTGGCTTACTACCAAAAAGAAAAAGATTATCTGCCAAATATATATATAACTGTGTCCTATGTCTCATGCATCGGGGGGAGGGGTTACTCCCTTATGTAACGCATGTAGGTATGTGCCGCCTCAAAGGGTATGGTTCTTGCGTCGTTTTGGTCTAAAAACGGGTATAGACGTTGCCCATTTTTGTCTGGAATCGGGTATGATAATCGAGGGAACTACAGGACTGTGTGAACGTATTTGTCGTTTCAATTCCAAACGAGTAAGAAAGAAGAAAAAAATATGCGAATTCAAAACCGATTTTAAGAAATCGTTTTTGTTCCTGTTCTTATCTAAGAAATTTCTCAGAGGCCAGGTCTGAAAGCGAGTATGGATTAGGGGTCAGGTCTGATAACGGATCGAAAAAATAGGGTCAGGATTTAGAGAACCGGAGGGCACACCCCCATCAAGAATTCTCAGGAGTAACCCCCCGGGCTTATGCACATGTTTATAATACGCTTTGCAATCATGCTCACCTGCGTTTTTCTTGTGTAGTGATCTTCTACATAAATATCTCTTGCAAAGCCAAAATCTGCCACTTTGCAAACTTTATTTTCGTCTATTAAGACATTTCTGGCGGCAAGATCTCTGTGTACGACCTGTTTGTAATAATGTACAGGACAACATCAAATCACCTTCAAAGCTGCCACAAAACATCAAAACTATGAAGAAAATAAGGTTTTTAAGGAAACTCATTGTTTGACTTTACAATGTTGCAATTTTAGTGCGTTAAGCTACTGAGTTCTTGAACAAGTTGCAGAACTTGACTTAAACTTGGAATAAAGTCTACAGAGACATAAAGATCCTGGTCTGTCCTTCCCACATTCAAATCACAAGTGTACCTCTCTCCTTCGCAGAGGCTTCTGCTGAGTATGCCATTAAAAAAAGAAATAAAAATAGTTAAAAATAGTAAGCGAGCGGTGGATGATGGGAAGATGGAAAATGCCAGAGCTTCCTCTGTTGCTCTCTTCCCCTTCTCATCTTTTCCCGCGCGCTTTCTAGTTATTTTCCTTTCCTCAGCCTCCCCACGACACAAAGAGGCCTCAGCGGAGCAGAAAGTGTACGGTTCCTAGAATCACTGCTTCAATTAGATGACTTTCTAGATTCAAGGGATCACTGGCAAACTGCACATGCAGAGCCATTTACATGACGTCAAGAGGATGAGTGTTCCAAGAATCTACTACGTTTTTGAGAGCTTTTGAGAATGACGATGACGATGATCATGGCAATAATTTATTAATTTGAATTACGCAGTTATTAACGGATAATGTTTTCAAATGCTCGCAAAAGCGTCCGAAAGGGAAAGAAGGTAAATAATTGCTGAAACTACAGATGGACGTTAAGATGTTAAAAAAAAAATGAAAAGGAAATAACATACTTAGTTAATTAACTCAGTTATTCTAAAAAGTCTAAAATACATAAATTACATATAATTGATACAGATTAGTGGTCTCACTGAGAAAAAAAAATGTATTATGTATTAAATAGAATCTAGCCTGTCACTCATAGCAGTCCACGACGAATGGGGAAACCCAGGAGTAAAGCAAGTCGAATCAGTATCTGGTGAATTTGTCAGAGCAACAAACCTCACTTCCTTTTCCCATCATCAGCACATAATAGGTGTTTCTTACTGAAATAAATGCAATTTTTTCATATTAAAATAGTCTTTACCTTCATGCCAGCAAGATGGGCCATACCCCTTGCTGTCTGTATCGCAAAAGAGAGTAGGTCCCTGGAACCAAGTTTTTCAATTGGCACTTTGTACAAGTCTTGATAGTACTTGTCTTCCACTCCGCGACAGTGACGGAGATAACTTTGAAGATCGCCATACGAGCAAAATTCAACAATTACCATCAGGGGCTCTACACGTAAAAGAAAGAGACAAATCTTCAAAAAATAGTCACAATCACAGTAAACCCTTAGTCAGTGGAGTCACCCAATTTATACAAGCAATTTTATCACTATTTCGTATAATAGTAATTATGTTGTGCTGCACAGTGATGTGGTAGATTTCAGATCCGGCTGAGATTAAATAAATAGAGTCAAAGTGATCTCAGTAAAACATTTTTCTGGCGAGCAGTTCTTGTCAGTTTTCAGTAATTATTATCATATAGACACTTATTTCCGACAAAAAAAAAAAACAAACAAACAAACCAACAAACCACGTTCGCGTTAACTTACATACCTTGCCTGGTACAACAGCCTAATAATCCAATGACATTCGGATGAGGCTCGATCAACTTGAGCAATTCCAATTCGGCAAACAAGTCCCTTCTAGCTGTTTCACTATCAGTTTCTAATAAGTAGCGACAAAAAACAAGGACAGGTTAACGAAAGAACTAACAATTCGAACTGGACCTAAGATATCCTGAGAAAATCAAGGAAAATAAACGGAAGACTCATGGGCCCGTAGAGGGTTTACAAAGCATGCGCGTCATTGCGTAGAAGTAATTTTATTTCAACAAAAGCTAATGACATGTAATACACACCTTTAACAATCTTGACGGCTACATGCATTTTACCAACGCATCCTTTGATGCCTTGCGCTTGAGCTTTCATCACCAGACCAAATGCACCTGATCCAAGCACAAGTTGTAAATCCACTCTGTTGCGCGGAAATTCCCAGGGATTGTTACACAGAAGGCCGGATTCGGCTCCTTGGGGTATCTCTGGTTGAGCGGGGAGGGGAATATTCGGAACATGATGGACCAACAACTGAAATTTTAAAAAAAACATATTAAAGAATGACAAAATATCAGCACAGGTTAGTGCTCCTCTATGGATTTAAAGTCGACGAATCTTTTCTGTTAGGTTGCTTCATGATCTAACAACGACAACCGATGAAATCACCAAACGCCGTGATGAAAGCAGAACAGAGATAAGAATAATGGCTTAAAAGCCTGTAGCTTAATTTTAAACTGCGGTTTTAACTCTGCTTTTATAAATTGGCTGCAGGGTTTACAATGAACGACTCTTTTCCACTGAAATGGAAAGTTGTCTTTAACCCTTTTCAGTATATTCGGTATGTTAAGTCTAAAATGATTAACTTTCGAAGCTGAATTTACACTGCTTGTACCACCTAGTGCTTTTTATTCAAACAACAATACAAACAATTCAACAAGGGAAACAATCTAGGGTATTTCCAGTTAACCCAATTTTATAGGCGGTTAGTCTACCATTAATAAACGTAACGGGGCAGTACACACCGTCAGTAGTCACGAGATACCTAATCTCCATTTCGCGCCTCTTTTGCCTTGGTAATTAAAGCGGTTATGTAATCTATACACTATTGGCTCGATCCTCAAACAAATGTAGTAAAGTGGTAAAATATTCCACAGCTCTTTTCTTCTTAACTTTTCCTTCAGTAGGGCTAACAGACCTAACACCGAATAAGCTTTTTTCGTGGGATGGGGCACTTGTGAGTATCCTGACATGGCTAAAAATACATAAACAAAAAAACTACGTAAAAGTGTTACCGAGTTCCTTTCGGCTGGATCCTGTTGACTCGTTGGACGGCTGTTCACTGGCGTATTGGCAAGGTTATTTTTCTTGTTTATTTTTCGAACAAAATAAAATATTCCAATGATCATGATGATAATAGCCAGAAATCCTCCTCCGACGCCTGCTATCAATGGGGTCATGTTACTAGGGAGTCCCAAGAAACCTTTATCGGGCTGGACACTAGCACTGGCTTCTGCAGAAGGAAGATGGAAATAGTGTCACAAGTACTGTTCTGACTACATACGATACAGGTATATATAAGCATTAGCACAATCATGGTGGATAATGTGTATAAAGGGTTTAGTTTATCGTTTGTGTCACGTTTGTCACTTCGATATTGATCGCGACTACTAGCTTACGTTATACACCTGCATAAACCCTACAAAGATTCTTAAACGTAAGGGGAGCAGTGCACTGTCCTGCTAATATAGTGTTCAGTTATCTGTAACAGTATCACTCTTCTTGTCTGCTTCTACCTTCCAACCAAAATGACTAAATCAGACGAGCAACTGACACTTCAACAACTGATTCTCCTACCCATCTTGCTGGTCTTCACAATAAACGTTGCGCTAGGAGGACTGCTGCCCAGGCTGTTGGTTGCTAGGATACGGAACTTGTAGCTGGTGTCTGGTTGTAGGTCCATAATTGTGTGCTTGAATTTATTTGGTGGTTTTATTTGAATCTCCTGCCATGTGTTCTCTGAACCCTCTTTGTATTGGAGCTTCAATGCAATTAGTTCCAAACCCCCATTGTCACCGAGTTTCCACTTGACCACAGCTTCGGATGCGCTTGTCTCAACGGCAATAATAGTGGGACTCTCTGGACGAGCTAAGGATTAAAAAATAGGTACCTTGAATTGAAAGTATTTAAAAAGCAAACAGCTTAAACATAGTTAATACTCAAATGAGAATCGATTTACACTGTCCTCACTGTTTGTCTCTTGAAAAGTACAAAACATGAACAACGAGACCTTTATGTTTAGTTATGGGTATCTGGTTATTAGAATCGTTCTAGGAAGGTTGCATTCTACAAGGTGAAGATGCCTCTAGCTTTTGGCGTGTTTACTCAAAGTGCCTCTTCAGAGAGCATGGCCAAATTGCCATCAGACCCAGTGTTTTGTCCATGTGATTTACTGAGATAATGGGCAACAAAATGCAATACAGCTCTCGAAGTTAGATTCTCAAACAGCGATGCTTGTAGGCATGCTGTGTTTTGATATTACAACGAAGCGTAAATAACTGTCCAAAAAGAATTCTTCTTCTTCTTTTTCGTTTCCTACATATTAAAGTTGTGCCCAACGATTCGCGACGACGATTCAAGAGTTGGTATCTGGTTACGTCACTTTAGAAAACTAAAAAAACTATCCCTGTTATTACCCGTTATCGAGAAAAAATGTAACGACGCGTTTTTGGAAACCTCTCTCTCCTTGAAAAGACGAGTTGATTGAATAAAGACTCCTTGAGCACTTACTCATTCTACTCTTCCATTTAAAACCATTTCGGACCCCTGATCAACGGTTAAAGTAGAATACAGGTTGTATATTAAACTTTATCAGCCGGAATCAGCCTTACAGTCTTAAAATACTTACTCTTTCCAGACAACGTAAAAAGAGCAGAATCATTGCTCAAGCTGTTAACCACCTCACATGTATACATTCTCCAGTTTTCCTTGGTGACTTTGCTGATTTCAAGAGTGCTTTGGCTGGTTGCGTGGCTATGTAACGTTGTTACGTCATATCCGCGTATTTCCTCGCCTTCACTGATGGTGACTTTCTTGTTTTCAGGATCCTTCCAGGACCATGTGAACGAGGCATAAGGGTAACCCCGTGATTTACATATCAATCTAGCTGATTCGCCCACATTTGCATGGAACTTTCGAGGGCCATATATTTTTGGTGGTTCTGTGAGATACGAATAATATTTTGTTAGCGTTAGGAATGGTTCTGTATGTGTCATAACAGCAGAACTTACCAACGAGTTTTGAAACAACAAAACAAGGTTGTTATTCGAGCCCATCTACAATTAGGCCACACCCAGAGAGAATTTTGGGTAGTGCCGAAAAAACCGATGGACTGACCTTTGTTTTGATGAAAGTTAAATTTCGTTTTGAAAAGACAAACATCAAAGGAGCTGGAAAAAGAAGTTCATAAATTCAAACATAATATGATGCTTTGAGATGGAGCTTGTGTAGCTAATTAAATTTAAAAACATTAATATGGCGGTACTTAAGGCTTGCAAACTTGCAACAAAGGAAAGAGCACTGAATCGCGATGCAAGTATGCGAAATGTATTATGTTGTCCTGTGGTTACCATTTTAAAAGTTGTACATGCTTGACTTTTATATACCGAGGCAGTATAGATGCAGCCGAAAAGGTCGGAGAACACAAGTTAAGCATTATCTGGCAACTTATGAAGTGACTCGAAAAAAAATCGAAGGTTTTAACTGGATGCTTAAAGGAATATAATTACCATAAACTATGACTGTAAAATTAGCATTATCCGTTCCAAGCTCATTGGAAGCAGTACACGCATAAGTCCCACTGTCCTCATATGAAGCTTCTGTTATAAGTAAAGCTCCATTGGCCTCTTGTTTGAACCTGTCGGCTGGCAGCTGTCTAACACCTTTCTTCCACGTGACATTTGCTTTTGGAAACGCACTGACGTCACAATCAATCTTGAGGTCACGTGTTTGTAACCACAGGGTCAGATTAATAGCATCTGGACTTGTGTTTCTAATAATCGGGCGGGCTAAAAGAAGACAAAAATGATGTAACACATGGATTCATGTAGATGACAACACCATTATTTCCTTTACATTGAATATCATTCTCAATTTAAAGATTCTATTCAGAAACTTTTTTCCATGTTCTTCCTCCCCCCCTTTTTTTTTCTAGATTGACAGTGATACACTTTTAACCTCCAACCTTTGCTACTTGTTAATAAAGGCGTCTCTCGTAATTTTCGATCTTCTCTGTAGAGGCCTAGGTCTCTTTTTCTTGAGTATTCATAATCACAATAATCATAATCACAAAATATTGAAATATTTTGTGATATTCATTTTGATTATTCATATTTAAGTGGAATGTTCAGCAGCCCAGAGCATCTGCGTTCAGGGACCGATCTGGAGGGGAGAATTGGGTAGTGTAGCCAACAAAAAAGAAATAAGAAAATAGAAAACAAAATAGAAATACTTGGGTCTCAAAAACCTTTCGAAGCAACCTCGTACCCACGGCTATGAAAAACGTTATGACGAGATTGCCTAGGATGAACAAAAAGAGACCAAACAATCGAATTCAAATTCAAGCCTAAAAGGGAAAGATAGCTAGCTGGGCCGGAGCTTTTAACCGACCAGCAAGTTTTCACGTTTGTACCATAATTTGCTGTGAGTCAGTGATGTATTTCAAAATCTTTACAAACACGCCTGCCGTGCCTATTAGGATAATAGGCTCCTGATATCTTCTCATTTGTGGAGCTTCAAGAGTTTGCAGCGTTAAGGGTTCCAGTTCGTCCTCTTTAATTTGCAAAGTTTTAGAGTAAACGTAGGACCATTTATTGTAAAACACATTAACGTTTATAAAATAACTAAGATAGTACGAGCACTATGATTGATCGAGAGGCGTGTTTGCGAGAGAGTATTGCCCCGTCGACACGTATCCGGATTCGCAACTTTTTCTTTGTGAATTCGGCTTCCGTCATTTCGTATCCGAACTTTTTGAATCTGCTCTCCAGAGTCGTGTGGACGAATATTTGCACATTCAAAAATGTCCCGATACGTGTGGACGGCGCCTAAACAAAGTTAAGACGTGAAGATGTTTTCCGTACGCGCGCTAATCACGCTAGCACCGATTTGAAAAAGGTTTTGAGTTGAAAAATCGACAACTTTACTTTATTTACCCATTTCCTCGTCGGCCGAAACTTGGAAAATCTTAACAAACATGCTGTGTAAATTTTTTCACTTTTACGCAGACAAAAATTCGTGTCCAACACTTCGCGACTGGCAAGAGTTTTTCTTTTAATCAGTGCCTTAAACAAAGAGTTTTGCTTTTTTTCTAGGGAAAGTTATTTTACAACAGCAATGGAAAACCTTTTTACTATAGCCTGATATAAACACTGGAGGGGTTGGGAGAGTTCGGGATAAGCTCATAATCCTTCTTCTCAGGAGTCGTAATGGCTAAAAGAGTGTATGTACCATGTATTTATGTATGTATATGATTTGACAAGTTTTGTAAGGAACTTTAGCGGGAAAAGTTGGCTCGCTACCCAGGGACTTTCGCGACCGTAAAATGGTACAGTTTTTGTGTCTCACCTTTAACAAGAAGTTTGATGTCTTCAGTTGTAATGCTCATGTTATCCTTAAAAACATACAGAGCTCTACAGGAGTAGTTCCCATGATCAAAACGATGAACCTCATACAGGCGAAGAGAGTCCTGGCCAACGACAGAAATCTGTCTGCTGGAATATATTGATATTTGCTTACTAGGACCAATTTTTATAAGTTTCTGTGACCCATTAAACCAAGTGGTGAAGCTCCACATTCCTCCTTTTACTGAAGCAGAACAATCCAAGGTAACATTCTGACCTTCTTTAGTTGTAGTAGATTTTGACTGAACGAACAAACCTATGGATAATAAGAAAACAAAAAAAAGTATGGGAAATGAAATGAATCAGGTCATGAAATTAAGTCTCTTGTCTTATATAAACAGGGTGGTCTCAAACCATGTTGGTCCCAAATAGGGTCACGGTATCAAGACCTTGGCGGCACACCTCTATCCAAAACTTCCCTTGAGTGCTCCCAGGGAACTTGTATTACGCGGGTCCGATTTTTCTGTATGAGAATTTTAAGTCAAAACGAATTCTGGACTAGTTATTGGTTCAAAACTTGAAAGAACTAAAACCCACGTCCATAATCTCGCATCTAAACACGCCACGGAATAATATCTCATCGTTTATTTATTATTTTTTTAAATGGAGGATAGACACATAGAAATAAATCCGACTATATAAAATGATATTAAATATATGTACTGGCCTTTCTTTCCTTTCTTAAAGTAATCGGAGTAAAACTGATATTTTTGCTGAATGTTGCTGAAAACCTCGTTGAATTTGCGCGGAGCAAATGAATTATCATTATTATGCAGCAGTTAAAGTGGTTCGACTGAATTTTTTTGGGGGGGATACCTCCCAAGTTTGAGCATTAACTACGTCGGCATGAGTAAAGACATGGGAAAAAGATTACCACAACTGTATTATATAAAGATGAAAATTTCTTATGATCTGCGTTTTATTGCAATCGGAGTCGCCATGGCAATGTAATGACGCCATTACGCTTTTTATTTATCTTTGTGTTTCTCTGTACCAGGAGTTTTTTGAAGAAATCGCTTAAGGGAGTATGTATCTACCATAATTGGCAAAGTTTAGACAAATTCTATGAGAGCGTTTTCGAAATATTTTCACACGCAGTTTTAACAATCATAAAAACAGTGAAATAGCATGCTATCCACACAATTCGCTAATATTTTAAGAAAATGATAAGCTTTGGAAACGCGGCTTCATCCCATAGTGGTTTGATTCCATTGAAGACTGCATGCAAAAAAAGAGCAGAATTGCTCTGGGCGATCGCGAGCAAGAAGAATTGTATTAACTTGCATTCAGCTGCTTTTGTTACAGTTTTTGGGCGTAATTTTTATAAATCAGAGCAATTCTTTGTAACAGTTTCTGTGATGTTATAACCCGAGTAAGACAATTAAGTATTGTATCCTACACCATGAGCGGTGACGTTCATCGTTTCGGCTCTCACTGCTATGGGTGACACAAGCCAATTATTAGCATATTCCGGATATTTCTTCGGAAAGTAATCGAGAGTTCTTTTTGATGTAAATTTATATCTTTTGCTAGTTGTGCACGTGCATATGAAACTTAAAAACAATGGCACTGAATAAAGAGGACGCTCACTTATAAACACAAAATCTGGGGGAAACATTGGCTATATTTGAGGTCCCATTTAAAAGCCTTCCCTGTTTTCAGTGTTCTTGAAACTTGCAGGGAATATTTATTAACGATTGATCTCGAGATTGTCGAATTTATAAAAAAAAATTATCTAGCGGTTTTTTGAAAAATGCGAAATTTGTAGGCATGGACCAAATTACGTTCAAAACCTCTAACAAAAGCAGGTGAATGCAAGGTAATAAAATTCTTCTTGCTTGATCGCCCAAAGCAATTCCACTCTTTTTTTGTATGCAGTTTTCAAAGGAATCAAACCACTATGGGATGAAGCCGCATTTCCAAAGCTTATCATTTTCTTAAAATATTATGCGGCTGTAAAAATTCATCAACGATTACTTCATGACTTTAAAAGTCCAAAAGATGTTTAAGGAAGAGAGTTAATAACTTCGAATGCGATATTCATCGTTTATGTTGCAACTTTAAACGTCCGAGCGATGTTTAGTGTTCCCAAAAGTACAGCCTTCCACATGTTACGAAGAACTCCCTCACTCTTACTTCCGACCAACGCCTTCAGCTTGACTCGGCACCATCCCCCTAACACGTCCATTATGATATTATATTGTTTCACTTCATATCGTTGGTTCTTCTCGTTCAATTCCCAAGGGAACGAACCGCCGCCCGGTTAGCTCAATGGGATAAGCGCCGGTCTGCTGAGCGGGAGGTCGCGGGTTCAAACCCCGGGCCGGACCAACACTCAGGGTCTTTAAATAACTGAGGAGAAAGTGCTGCCTTTGTAATAACTTCTGCAAACGGTTAGACTTTCTAGTCTTCTCGGATAAGACCGATAAACCGTAGGACCCTTCTCACAAGCCCTTGCACATGTAATAAATCTGTGGGATATTAAAGAACCTACACACTCTTCGTAAGGAGTAGGGCACCTAGTGCATATTAAAGAACCTACACACTCTTCGTGAAGAGTAGGGCACCTAGTGCCCGGTGTAGTGATCTATCTCACTTTCACACTCATGTATGGGGGCATCATTACTCATTCCTTCATTACTTGTGAACCTAAGCAGTCTGGCAAAGTCCCCCAACCTGTTTTGTAGATTATCCCGGCTGAAAGGCCCTGAGGGGAGTGGATAATAAGACATTTACAATTTACAATTTACAGCGGTCCGTATTTCGTGGTTTCTCGTCCTCCTTTTTCGCTCGGTTTGTAATCCATGGGCAACTCTTCTCCAGCGTGATGACTCGCTTTGACTCGTGGTTGATAATGCGCGCGTCTACTCTGTTGGCTCTAACTTCTTGGTGCTCCTCAAATAGAGGGACATCCCAGAATGATTGCCCATTGTGGTTATCATTATTATTATTATTATTATTATTATTATTATTACTATTATTATTATTAGTAGTAATGTTTAAAAGTATTTTGCTCAATAAAGTCTTGTTAAAAAAAAATTAAATAAGAAAACAAACAAACACTGAAATGAAAATTGAAAATGAATAATGTATCATAGTTCCCTTTTTAATTTCTGCTGTCTAAGTGTCAGACCAAAAGTTAGAGTATATCAACCAAACTTTTATGCACCAAATACTTTACAGACGGGTCCGCCCGATAAATACGTTGGGATTATGCCAAGGATTTTGCTGCATCTTTTATAGTTAAAATTGTGTGGTTATTACTCTCACTGATAACGGATAACCTTATGTGGCGTCATTTCATCACTTCCTTAAACTAGTCAATTTATAGGGGTAAATCAGCATACTAATTCATCTTAAACTGGGAGTGTACTCTCAAATCTATTTGCATTCCGAGAACAAAATAACAACTAACAACGAAGAATTACAAAAATGCCGTCTAGAAGAGGGGAGAAAAACTCGAATTAACACTACGTAGCATGATCAAGACTCCGAGTGTGGTTGAATGAAAGCAAAGAACTTTGGTTGTAATTTCAACAGACTTCAGTTTGAAATGCTTGTGTTGCTTTAAAGAACCTGATATACAACACTTGTTGATTAAAAAAGAATCAAAATGACCATCTGTTTGTAGCATGCCATAAATACTAACAAGTTAATGAGACGACAAAATAAAAGCCAGTAATTAACACTAAATCTATTACTTGCAAAAGCAGATTGTTAAAAAGGAAATCACAAGAACGTTGGTTTTTACATATAAAAAATACGCTCAGTTCACATGATACATAAGCATGATACATAATTTTCCGATTCTTTGAATAATTGAGAGTGTTTTAGCCGTTGTCTAGGGTCTAAAAGTAAACCTTTCGGAAAACAGATTTTTTTAACAAGCACGTCACAAAATAGCTATTATCTGTTACTGATCGTTACTGTGACGTACCAAAGTTGGAGTGTGATAAATCCTGCTACACTGCAACTTTTTGGACTCAAACAAATGTAATTCAGCACAGTGTAATTGGTTAAGTTCAAAAAAACTTTTGTGATGTATCAGTGATCTTCGAAAAAGACTTTCTTCCCAACAAGGAATGTGTATATATTCATTAATTCCGAAGAAGAACAGTATGACTGATATTCTAGGCTGAAAAACCAGCTAACTTCTTTCACCAATCAAACCAATCAAAGCTATTATTAAGGGATGCATCGAGCTTTCGCCTCACTGTATTTTGGCAGTTGGGAATTCGCAGTGGCTTCGGTAAATTTTCAGTTCATGGTAGGGTAATTTGATCTGATTTCGATAGCTAAAGAGCTGTGAAAATGTTGCCCAATTATAACAATTACCAGAGCTGCAGTTCATTTTTCAGTCTCTTAATATGAACATGGCTTTATTAGAAGAGTTGAATGAATTTCGGATGTATGAGAATACACTGAACTGAAATTCTCACCGAACAGATGTATGTTATGTTTTGTGAGTGATACCAAAACTAATCCAATTTTAAACATGTTGGGCGTTTAAATTTATGGAACCAATAGGCTCTTTATGGAACCTACCTTGAAAATAAGTGAATATTACGACTATTACCATCAGGAAAAATTCTCTTTCCATCTTGTAGAACCCAAGAATCTGACTGCCACAAATGATCAACTTAGCACCTGCCGGAGATAAATCATTGTGTAAACCAAATGTTGAATTTATAAATATACTAAAATCAGCTTATTATTCTTCTATCTCCAGAATCTCAAGTTAAAGCTTCTGTTTCGTAAATCAAAAACAAACTTCCATCGTTGTCAATCGAAATATAACCTTCACGTAAACAATCCCGCAAACTGTTTTGAAGTTTGAATGTTATTTTCGTGGATGGTCTCTGTTGAAGTTGATTAACAAAGTAATAACCAACTTATTATTGATCTAGGGGGCTCAGATTATAAGAAACCACTTGAAATACTTGAGTTTTTAACCCTAATAAAACATCTTCTCAACTAATTAATATCACCGGTATGCCTGTGTCCTGTACCCTCATTCATATTTAAACGACTGACATCCCAAACCTGTATTATTTCTTTATCTCATTCTGGAAATGACCGATAAGAGATCATTGTCTGAGACGCTAAATTGTTTATCTTTGAACCACAATCGGAACTCCTATTTCTCGCGGTTTTGTGGCGTATCGCGCCTTTTTGAAGTCCTAGGACAGGTTAATGGTGCAGAAAGAAATGACCACAAATGACAAATAACGTCAATAATTCGCATGATATGGAGATACAGAAATGAAAACGTTCCCCTAGGTGTTCTTCAATCCGT